TGAAGTCATGTGACCCCCTCCCCCCGAGGTCACGTGACCCCCCCGAACCGGACAATGAGGGGAGGAGGAGGAGGGGGAGGAGGAGGAGGGCAGAGGTCCGGGGGGTCACGTGACCTCGAGGGGGACGGGATCACATGACCTTGGGCGGGCCGTCACGTGACCGGCAGGGGGAGGGTCACGTGACCTGGGCGGGGGAGGAGGGGGAGGAGGAGGAGCGGGGGGAGGAGGAGGAGGGGGAGGGGCGACGCCGACGCCGACGCCAACGCCGACGCCGACGCCGCACAGGCTGGAAACGGGTCATGTCACCCCCTCCCCCCGAGGTCACGTGACCCGTCCGGACCATAGTACACAATGAGGGGAGGAGGAGAAGGAGGGGGAGGAAGAGGAGGAGGAGGTGAGGAGGAGGGGGAGGAGGAGGAGAGGGAGGGGCGCGGTTACGCCGACGCCGACGGCGACGGCGACGCCGACGGCGACGCCAACGGCGACGCCGACGCCGCTCAGGCTGGAAACGGGCCCCTAAGAGCTGCGCTCTAAAACACTGCTATATAAAAATGATGCTCAAAACAACTGCGAGGCATGTAACCGGGGATTCAGCCGCATTGTCGGGCATAGCCATTATACTGTATTGAAGGCGATCGACGCTCCACGGGCGGAAGCTTTAGCTGTCTCCGTAAAAACTGCTCAGGAGTTTTTACGGAGAAGAGAACCAAAAGAGCGCTGGTCCAGATGCGGCGCCGACTGCATACTCTCTCTATCCAGCACGACAAGGGACCAAAGACGATAGAGGAATTCCTTCGAGGTGTCATTCGCACTGTTCGCTTTTGAACACCAGGTGTAAGATGTTAAGGCACGTCCATATATGTCTTATCAATAAATTGTATAATTTCTGAACATCTTGTCGTAAAATATAACTTAACCTAGCTAGTGCAGTTGCTGATCTGCTTAAAGAGACATGGAGGAACACCAGATGTGCATGGAAATCTAATGCGCCTATAAAGGCATCGAGCTCCGCTCGTTCTGTGTGCTACCATCACGCCTCATGGCGAGATTGAAGTAATTCGAGTTTCATGGCTTCAGCAGAATGACAAAGGGTATTAATTTTTTTGCTTCAAAAGAGCCTACTGATACAATAAATATCCTAAAGCCCCTCATATGAAAATAGTAATAACTCCTATAATACCGTATAAGGTCACTAAATTAACAGTTAGGAAATAACTGTTGGACAGTATTTATTTCGAAAATATTCTGATGATTTTGAAGAAAATTAAGTTCGATACCCGACCACTTTCCTCGAAGTAACCGGCATCTAAATCTAGACAAGATCCTTCATTCCACCAGGAAATCGATGATTGCATAACGAATGGTGTATATTGCATGGTGTATCTTAGTTTCTAAACGATATTCTTACAGTATCATTTTTTCCTTCCTTGGACTTGGGACCACTAGTTCCGGGACCATTTGTTCCTACAGCCGTTGTATGGATATGTACCAATTTTGTTCTAGGTTTTGAATAGCCGTATCATTGCAGTAGTGCCTTATATGCAACCTATTGTTGCGCTAACATCATACTGTTAAAAAAATTCATGTTATTTTAACTTCTTCGCTGATATGTATCGAGACCGTTATTTAGTTTTGTGAGCCCTGCTCGCATTGTAGATGAGACTGTATTGGCACTAATACAAAATCAGCACATTTTTGTTTTCGTTTTATTTTTAGTTTTAAGCATTCAGTGCATTTTGGGTTAGAAACCGAATGTATTTTTTAAAGGAACATAAAAGTAAATACACTGGTGTCGCTCCAGTAAATAAATAAAGCCGGATCTCATGTCTAATGCAGGATCTCCATACAATGCTTAACTTCTACAGCGGTCCAGTGTTTCTCTAAGAAGGGGAGCAGCATATTGTGGCTATATGTATAGTCTAACGGGAAATCTCATTTTCATCATTAAGCAGGCGGCCGGATTCTCGCACAGGAAGCAACGGAGGCGTCGCCTTCGCGTTGCACGATACAAAGGCGGTGCATGCATTGTGCACCGTCTCCGTGCACACAAAACCTGCACGGAAATAGATCACCACAAGCCGTTTGTCGCCAAAGTTCCGAGTGATAGTGTGCGTCGCATGTTTCAGGTCATAATACGGTACCCTATGACTACAGCGAGTCTTAACGAAATGCAATTAGATACTTCTTATTTTTCTTTATTTAGCACCATCGGGTCAGTGGCGCAAATATCTAGCTCTTGGCATTTCTACAGACCGATCAAGCGCTACACATTCGTACCACTGTTTTTCTTACGAACCATTCTATGACAATGCGCATCTGATTCCTAATCTTTATAAATCGGTATTTGATAACTTCCTAACTCGTACCATTTCGACGCATAGGCATACGTTGACCATGAGGTACATAAGTGCTCTTGACTACAATGTTCTTACACTCACTAAAAAGAGGCTCCTCACTTGCTGCGTCAAGTGGCTTAACAAGGTATCTATTTGATCAAGGCGCATTGTTTGTATAGTCCAATATTGTACATAACTTCAGCAAAACGCCATCAAATTTATTTTTACAGGTTCACGCTCTGCCACTCTCAGGGACAATTAATTTATTATTTTGGTAAGAGTCAACGGCGACTCTTGCTGTGACACCTCTGTAATTGACTCTTCCTTGGAAAAAAAAAGTCAAGAGTTAAGAAGACGCACATATTGAATATCGGCACTCTATACTTTGTTTCAGCTTAGGTACTGACGCAGCCGACGCTACGAGGTAATGAAACCAATCAAGCAGCCTGAAAAGCACAAGTCGCTGGGCCTTCCTTGTACATGATTGGCCCAGCGATCTTAGAACACGTAGAGTAACACAACGAACACTGTGATGGTGCGCTTTTGACGCTGTCTAATTGGTCCATCAACTCGTAGCGTCGACCGCGTCTGGACTTGAGGTGAAACAAAGTATGGGTTACTTGTAGGGCTCCGTGTTTTCGCATAAATCTGAAAAACTCCGAAAAACAACCGCCGGTAAAATTTTGGTAAACTCCGAATATTTATGTGTCAATGCCACTCCTCAATCCCCCCCCCCCCCCCCCCCCCGGCAAAAGAAAAAATAAAAGACTTTTTTTTTTTACAGTTTGATCAGCACAGAGCCAATGATCCTGGGAAAATTCCACCATTATTATCTTTCAAATCTCGGACCGTTGTCAGAAGGGGTCTTGCCGCTTGTCTCTTTAAAGTTGATTCAGGGCAACAGGTCGTTCGTTGTATATTCGGGGCACGACAAAAGCCACTCTTTTGGTTTCCATTTTGGGCCGTGCGATTTGTGATTTAGAGAAAGGAAAGGGTATGTCTTAGTAACAGTGAAAGGTATGGACAATGGGGCTTCCTAGCGACTACCTCCGGGAGTTTATCGATCTTAAGGTATCGGCGCTTATCGAAGCGCCACTTGTGTGTGACTTCTGCCGTGGATAAATTAGTTTTGCCAATGGCAATGGCACCAACGCCAAATTCAACTGAAGATATTTCAATTGATACTAGCGCGTTTTATTTTTTATCTGGCACTACTATTACATTTGATTATTTATTTATTTATTTTTAATAGGAAACACAGCGAAACTAAACTCCGAATTTCGGAGAATTGGGAGTCAAAAAATTATAAACTCCGATAAACTCCGAATCTCCGGCAAAAAATAAACTCCAAAAAACGCCCTCCGATTTTGACGAAAAATAAACTCCGAAAACACGGAGCCCTAGTTACTTGGTAGGCAAGACGTAAAAATGCGAGAGGACGTAGGACAGGGTTTGAACTTTGAACTTAACTTCAGCAATATTATGCCGAGGACACCGGACAAAAGGCTAACATCTCTACACAAATGGGTTTATCGCTATTAGTGTAAAGATAACAACCGGAAGTACTTTGGTGGATTGCAGAAATTGAGAAAAGAAAAACGTACTAACATAATTGATAACGAAACGCCACCCTCCCCAACCCCTGGAAAAAAAAAAGCTTAAAGTAAGGACACACACCGCTCCGTCCGCCATATGCACTGCCCTCGACTTAATCAAAACAGTTTATTAAGTCTCACTTAAATATGTCTTTATTATCTTCGTTTCCATCGATCGTTGAATACACAAATGTTGACACATTTTAACAACTATTGTCACACCTTTCAGATCCTCCCGTGCTTGGGCAGCGAAACGGCCTGCAGTATTTCCAAGTAAAATTAAAAACAAGGTACGTTTAGCTTAGCACTAGGGCTGATTGAGATGATGAGACTGCCTGTTCTATTTCCAAGGAGATAGAGGGGCAACGCTGTGCGGGTGTTCGTTAAGGTAATACACCCGCATGTCAGAATATGCAATTAAACTGACGTAGTCTTTAGCATTCAGTCACGAGCAGCGCAACAGCTCATGGGTGTCGTCATTATTAAGACGGTGACATTCCTGTGCGAATACGGCAGATATGCGTGAGCGAATTTTATTTTAACCTTTAAAGAGCGGTAACTGCACTGAAACACTTTCCTTATAGCCTGGGCATATCTCCTTGTGACTTCTCAAAACTTCTAACAACCCCCCCCCCCCCCAAAAAAAAAAAAAAAAAAAAAAAAGGAAACTGTGCTGGAGTTAACAGACAATGAAATAAAGAAAAGGAGAAAAAGATCGCCGAAGCAGCGCTAAACGTTATGACGCTCGCAAAACGATAGTTTTACATATCTTCTTGCTATTTCTAAAACATTATTACAAATCTATTGAACGTAGAGGATGCTACTTCGAAAAGAAAGATGTGCAGAATCAAAGGATTCTCATTAAAGTATCGGTCTCGTGAGTTTTAAGTCAGCCCTCGAGCTTAACTTGGTCACTAGGGTTCAGCATTTTCTTAATACATGCAGGGTTGGAATCGAGTGATCATTTAATCTGTTTAATCTTACGAAATATTCTGACTGTTTCACAGTCTGCAGTCCTTGGAAATTAAGGAGAAACATTCAACACGCCCCAACTTCCCAGTGCACCCACCTCTCTGTCGTTGATGAGCCACTTTAGGCCGTGGATGGGTGCTTCCCCGTCTGCGTTGCAACTGAGGTCCACGATGTTTCCCAGCGTGTACTTATCTTTCTTTCCATCTAACCTAGGGCCATTCATGCGTGGACCTGAGAATGAGAGGAAGACAACGCTGTAAACTTTAGTATTTACAAGAAAACAAAAACTTAGCAAGTTTTCAGTAGATATAAAATTGGTGTGTTCATGGCATCTCCGATCACGCCCCGCCATAGGCCCCTTTTTAATATAGTCGGAATTAAAAATTCATACATTTTATTGGCCAGATGGTGTTCGTTCCCACAGTTTAAAATGCAACTTCGGGTAATGTGTGTTGTAGAATATCAAAATTACGACCGACAGCTTGCGCATTCAAGGATGTTTTTATACAAGGTCTTTTTTTTTCTGATGCGCCTTTCAATGAATCGCGTCAAAGAAAATGCAACGATAAATGAATTGATATGCAGAAAAGCAAGATACATGCTTTAGATATTTTACGCAATGACCACACAGGTTTAGACGATTATCATGACATGCTCACGCTTTTAGATGCCCTCCTCAAACATGGTAACTACCTGGGTTTTCAGTTATTCTATAACAAATAAAACCATCAGCCGACAAAGGCGTGTAATGGGTATAACGAAAATTCTATAAAATTTGGAGGAAGACGGACAGGTGTCTACAATGATGGAGGTCAGGGAAGAACGTCGGTGGGGGCTAATAGTCTTCCTGAACATACGTTTAATCTTTTTTGCTGAATACGTGAATAAATACATTTCATCTATCTTGTTTATGCTCCTCTTTTACTCAGTTATTTGTAAGTCGAACGAAGAACAACCCTCGTCGTCTTTTATCTGATTCTCATTTCAGTTAGCGGAAGGTAGGTTGCGATTTGATTGATGCATTAAATATTTAGTCAAGGGAACAAAGTTTTAAGGAAAAACACAACGTACTTTTTTGCAGAGATTTAGTATATTTGTTAAGCTTACTAAGGCTGACAGAGGAGTCTTACTTTTTTTTTTTAATTTCAGCTTAGAATTGCCATCTTCTGTTAGCTGTCATGGTAGGCAATCTTCATTGACGCCATTCCAAGCCTGTGAGCCTCAGTATGGCACACTTTGAGCGCAGCGGAGCTCTAAAATCTCCGACAAACTCTGAAAACTTTTCGTAAAGCTTTTCCTCGGACGCAATTCCTTTAGTCAAAATACCCCAAATCTCCGGCAACACACCGGGTACCTCGTACGCGAGGAGCAACGACGAGTTTTGGCGGGACAGCAAACCGTAACTCTTCTTCAAGCCGGTTCATGCCGATGATTAAAGCCGACGAAGCCGCGTCTTCTCCGGGATTACGCACCCGATATATCGACCGTCCTGCCGTAGTCGCGGATCGTCAGCTCCTCGCTGCTCACGTAGTAGGGCAGGGCGGCGTGCGAGGCGCAGCGAATTTCCATGCTGCCGTGCCAGAAGTGGCCCGGCTGAGCCACGAAGCTGATCCGGGATTGAACGTAGGATAGGCCCTCACCGTCCACGTACTGAGTCCGGTGAATCGCCTCCTCGCTGGCCGTGGGCACCTGCGAAGGCGTGTGGGCTTCCAGAGAGCTGCCAGGGCGTGATCGTTAAAGTGCGAAGATCTCAACTCAATTGCTAAGCGACAACGAGCTACCCCCGCTCTTTATTTTGGTTCCTCGTTGCAGTTTGTCGGTATATTCTAGGAAGCTGCAGGAGCAAGTACTCTTGATCTCTGGAAAAAATATTGTGATTGCCTTTTGGATTGGTTGGTGCGCGACTCAATGGGTGTTGTTAGTCGGAAGTTTTCTAAATCTACGTGCGTTAATTAAGAAGGTTTTGTCCACCAGTTCACGTTTTATAAAACGGCCCTATTCGATTGGAGTCTCGCGCACAGTAATGCATTTTCTCGCGAAGTTTGATTAGATTGCTACATTCTTAAACGGGTGATAATAAAACTTTTTCCACTTGTGTATAACATCACAGCAATCAAGCAACTTGGATTTTTGACTAGCTAATTTTCCCAGAAGAATTAAAAATGGCATTGCTTCTGGGAGTATAAATATTTACGAAAACGTTTTGTATGATTCATTTTAAGTACTCACGTATGTCCCTATTTTTTTGTGTCGTCGACTTCGATACATGCAAGTAAATTTACTTTGACTTCAACTGCCGTTTTATGGCAAGGAATACAACAGCAAATTAGGAGCACGTAACTATCAGCCATTATTTATACGAGGATGTACCAGAGTTTGGCACAACAACATTAATTGTGCCGGTCGTCGGTTCTGTCGGCGCGAAAGTAAACTATTACATCTGGAGAACGTTTATCCTCTGCCTCTTTCTAAGTACAGACAACTGCTTTGTTGCGATGGATATGATAGGTTTGTGATCCACGAGCTCAAAAGCAAGTGCTAACCTTCCGGTCATTGATGTACCATGTTAAAGAAGCGTTCGGTTTCGAGGGCCCATATGAGCAAGTTAGATTGACCAAGTCACCCAGTTGGTACTGGCTGTACAATCCCTTGATGACAGGATCCTCATATGGCAAAACTGAAAAAGAAAAATACAAAATTAACATTAATTACGTCGTGCAAATGTTTCCGTAGGTCCTTTTTTAAAACAAATGTTATTTCTAAACATTCTATCTCAGCGACTACATGAGGAATGTTCAAAGCCCCATAGAAAAAAATGCCCGACGAACAACGAGCTCCTCGCTCTCACTTTAATGGTTGTAAAGAATAAAAACATGCGTTTAACCTATAAGTGATCGCATTGAAATAATTAGGCTTTTAACAAACTTTTCTTGCATTTTTGGCGCATGTTTTTTACCATTTTAAACAGTGGAGGAAGAAAGTGGAGTTGCGTGTTAAGAAGAGTCGAAATGCATGTAGTAATTTTACTTTCTTCTCCCTTGAGTAAGGTGCTTCAAACATTCTCGTTATTTCTCCAGGCACAAATTTGCTTCTAACCAGATAAGAATAAACTAAAAAAAACTGTGTGATTGTAAAAATGCCTACTCTCTAATGATAGGGCATCACTATAATGTTATTTTATATCGGTCGTAGTCGGTGTTAAAAAACGACAAGGTATATATAACAACCGTGGAGCCTGCGGAAGGCCGTAACAATACGGCACATTTCAAATTCAATTATCACAGTTATTTTTTTTTTACCAGACGTGGGTGATTTTTTTTTTTCATTTTGACTAGCAGAATGGGAGATGGAAAATTTTATATTCTGCGTAAGTGCATATCGTTTCCACGATGTCAGAATCAACAAACCAATAAAACAAATCAATTGCTGCTATAGCAACATTAATCATGATTCTGACAATGTATGTACATTCAACTAAACTCCAGCAGCTTTAGCCCCCGCCCCCCCCCCCCCTAAAAAAAAGCAGAAAAACACAACAATAGAGATGAGCCCTTTTAAGCAAGGAAGCATGGCGGCAATGAACAAGATAAAAAATCCTCACGTTTTTAATACCGTGCGGAGCAGTCTCCCAGGCAAGAGGTAGGAACAATATGTCAAACCTCTTTCTTTTCTCCTTTTAGTAGATACAAGCAGACACACAGACGCACACACACTCACTCCCGCCGAAAACAATGACAGACTTAAGGCATCGCTGGTAAAACATGGCCTCTCGACCGGGTCAAAGCAGAGTACACCAATTTCGAGCGCGCTGTACAGTGACGTGCAGTTGCCCCGAAAACTAATTGCAGGGAAGAGCGGCAAAAAGAGCGGCAAACGCCGAACAGGGGCGACAAAATGGAGTTATATGGTTTCTTGCGACACACGAGCTAAAAGTGAAAGAGCGCGATGGGACGAGAATTTAATTTGGGGGGACCAAGTGGAACACGCACGTGGCCGCCAAAATGACCGGACGTCATTACTCCGGCCCGTCCGTGAACACAGGGCGCGCGTTGTGTCGCCACAAGAACGTGACCGTAGGTAATCGCTGCGCCGGGTGCCGGTCGACCGCGGCCTCGTCGTCCAGAGCGCATGGTTCGGAAAGGGCCACGCACGCGGCATTATCGAGGCCCCCAGACTATGGATCGCGAGTGCTGAAGAGTGCTCGTGTGTGCGATGGGAGCACAGTCTGCTCGAAAATTCTGTGAACTGGGATCATAAGCTAAGAATTGCCCAACATCTTTCACGACGATAGCCGTTATCGGTTAGAATTCGCAGCGGATCCCGTCTGTGTTTCGTGTACGTCCTGGCCTGCTAAATTATTCCGCCAAATATAGCGAGAAATCAGCGTTACTATATTGTGCCGCCAGCGTCACGCGACCATGCCACATGACGTCGCAAATTTCTCGCTAAATTTAGCGTATATATATTTTCGGTAAGCTTAACGTTAGTTCAATGCCACGTTACGTCATGGTGCCGCGTGGTGTCATGGTACCACGTATGTCACAGTGTCACGTCATGTCATAGCCATATGCGACGTAACAGTGCGAAAGGAACATCGTCCGCCAAATTTAGCGAACGTAAGTCCACTGCATTTAAACATGGCAGTCTAACTGTGCGGCAGTCTGCAGGATCTCGACCATCGGCGCAGTTGATTTGCAGGAAACGGTAAACACAGCGGCCATTTGTTTTCCTTGGTGGCCAAAACCTTCAAACGTTCTACAGCGACAATCTCATGCTACAAAAACTACAACAAAACAAGCAATACTTTTTTTTTGTTAGAGCATCTCTTTTATTAAAGGCAATTCCTAACGGCAAGAAGTATTCAAACGTCGAACGAGCAATAAGGGCAGCCTTTTGCTCGAGCGCCGTCTGAAAAGAGCTGCAAGATCCTCTTTCCTCTTAAGACTGGCTTGCCTCTCTATTAAAAGCAACAAAAATCCATCAACGACGATGTACTGCCATGTTTTAGCAGCGAGTTTTGGAGACGAGGACACATCTCCATCATGATCGAGCGTCGGCCGTCCGCCAGTGAAGTACCGCTCGCTTCGGACGTCCGCGCCGTCGTAAACAGCCATCGGCGGCAGTTCTATCCGGAGCCGTCCTTCGCGTCCCTTTCTTTTTGCATTATCTCTTGGCTTGGCGCAAGGTTCTTTACCAAGCCATCACTGTGTTTACATGGGACGGCAACCCGGAGGAACGTTACTTAAGGGCCGTTCACAACGCACAGATTCGATGAATGCCTCCGGACATTGTATGCCACATGTAAGTAGGCGTTGTTGCTGTTCTTTGTTCCTGACGTTTTTAGGGCTTTAGGTGTCTAGAATATGTTCTTTTTTTTTTTGTTTTCCGCGCAACGTCGTCGTAGCCGGAAACAAAGAATGAACAGAAAAAAATTAACACCAGAAATAAAGTTCCGTGTTGTAAGCGAGTTGGAGCCTGCTTCTCTTGGCCCACATATCTATGGTGCCCAGCTCCGATGAAGCGTTTTGACGAACGATACAAAGGCATTACGCCTATGGTAGTCTGGCCGAAGAAAAATAAACCGATATGTCCAAGGCCTCCTACTGCTCCGCGGGAAAAATCAGGGCGTGCGTGAGGCGTGCTTAAAGATTTGTTTTGTCCGTGTGGTGGCGGGAATCATTCATGGATGGCTGGGTTAGTGCTTGGACGTCACGTCAGCTCTCGATATTTGTATCTGATGGATGTCGAAAGAAGCTTACGGCGTCGAAAAATAAAGATGATAAGCGCATAAAAGCTACCACCTCGCGACTGTTTTTTTTCTTTTCTTTTTTTTCTACGGCGATACCGCCATGACGGGGTTCCGCACACGGTTATAGGGAGGTACTTCTGTAGGATAGTCGTGGCACGTGACGTCATGCTGTCGAGGGACGTAACAGTGTCACGTGGCATTGCAGTGAGAATGACGTCATAGTGTTACGTAACGCCCTGTGACACCGTGAAGCCTTTCCAGAAAACAAATAAGCGAGGTAATGCTTTTGGGCGTTTTTTCCGCCACAATGCTCAAGCTTGTGCGTAATCTTCTACGCTAAGTCTAGGGTAAAAACGATTACGCTGAGTTGAGCGGAAAAATTTATTCGTTAAATTTGAGGGAGAAAGCGGCTGTGTTTAGTGGTGGCCGTGCGTATGTGCCTGCAGCAAAGTTTGCAGTGCCTCGGCCGCAGGTCTTTCACAAATCACGACAAGAGACCGGGAAGTTTTTTTTTCTTTATTTATTTTGATTTGCAATAGTGCTCAATATTATATTTCGCGTACCACTGAAGAAGAAAATATAATCACTATGACGGTGCTTTTTTTTTTATCTATTCGTGGTTATATCAGAAAAAAGGGTGGCCAATTGCATAGATACCGTCTTTCCTCCATTTTATTATTTTTGGCGTGCACTCCGCAAGAGAATAACCTTTACGATATTTAAAATATTTAACTAATATGCGTTCATTTTTTCGATTATTTATGTTAGACTTTCGCGATTCCAAGTTTAAATGAGATCACCCGTAGAGGTGATGCATCGTACGAATCTGCGACCGATGTATTTACCGCGTCATCATATTTTCTACCCGATATTCGGCTGGTGACGTCACAGCTGTATAATGCTACGGATAGTTTCAATCTTGACCTCAGCACAACAGCAAAAGTGGATGCTGCAGAAGTATGTCCTCCAATAACTTGTAATAGAGCCGGCCAGGCAGTTACAGCTAAAGCAGTCACGCGTGTAAACCCGCTAGGCCAATTATGTCTCTGTCTGCTTTACTCCACTTTGCATTACGATTCATCGCTGCGAGCGGACGCTGAGATCAACCGGAGGTCCGGAGCCAATAAAGAGCTCGGAACGTGTTTCCTGACCTTCCAGTTGGGAGGAGCAGCGCGGATACCATGAAGTCACATGGCACACGCGGAGTACTGGAATGGGAAAGATGACTGGTAGCGCTCCTTGCAGTACGTTTTAGGGTGCGGAGTACTGTTTGCTTCGCTGACGCTTTCCCAACTAACCACCATGATCATTGAAAGGCTTTCTTAACACTGCATGGTGGCGCACTAAAGTGATAGAGGAGTCCTCGTCGTTTTACAGGCATCATACTAGATAATAAGTTTGTTAAAAAAGAAAAAAAGAACAGATAATTTAGTGTTTTTATGCCATCTGACTTTGAAGCAGGGCCTCAATGGGACTACGTAAGGCCTTCGCATCTTACATATAGAAGTCTGCAATACTCGCGAACCTACTATGGTTGTAAACACAGATATTGGCTAGCTTCGGCTTCACCAGAAGACCGAAGATGACTTCTACGTGCTTCTAGCTAGAATTATAAAACGGGATGTGATCACCTCCAAAGCTTTTTGTTTTGATGGGAAACGGACTCGTCAGGTTGCTCCTAAATGATATTTTATACAGTTTGTTTATTTAGACATGCAGATATTCAAATGAAATGAATGTTTCGGCGCTCAGCCACGTTTGTTTCGCTCTCACCTGCTTGACCGTTTTTTTTTTTTTATTTGTTCATTATGAATTATTAAAAAACCTTTCCTGAAGTATGTGGTAACCGCAGCGTCTGATTTACGCATCGTGACGTTCAGATGTACGGCGCGTGAAATTATCCAAGAAGCGAAGACGAAATTGACGTTGGTTTAGCAGTTCGTGACCTCAGAACGCAGGGAAGGGTGCTTAACCTTTGCGTGCTTAACCGTGTGCTGAACCTTTGCGTGCGTTCTGATCTCCTAACGATTAGAAAGGATGAATCATGCTACTACGAGGATATACGAAGCGTTCAAGCTTGCACCCGAGCGTGCATCCGAACAACCCCACAATTTCCGTCGTTGCAAGGACTCCTGGGAATTTTAGGAAAGATCTATTAAGCAAATAGGATATAGGGTTTTAAAATATCCCGTTTCCAGTGAACTTTACTGAAAACTTATGACTTTCTATTTAATGAAGACTATTTCACTGGCATATGACCACTTGATAAACGAACGTTATATCATCAAGTTAATTAGCTATTAGAGGGTGAGGACTTTCAAGCACTTAAGACCCAAGGACGCGTTTACCTGCCGCGTGCATCACGTGAGCTAAGGTTTGTGACCCCATGGAATGCTACAATACAAATAGTGGTAATGAATGAACTCTTGCAGCTATTGTTTTTCTACAAAGGAGAGCCCGACCTACGGTACTGAGAAGAGGATTTGTCTTCCACTAGACTGTATAGTGTCATTCATGTTGAGCCAAGTCGTTGACAGGACAGTTTGTTTCTTGAATGTGCGATGCGAATTTTAAAGAACGAATTCCGTTCGTTTCTTGTTTTGCGTCAGCTCATTTTTTGCATAAGATACTTCTATGTATTACAAGCAGCTTTAATAGGCAATGTAATATAAGTGATGGTGCTAGAAATGCTTTTTGCGCAGTTTCTTTGCAAGCGCAGTGGCTTAGCCTGCCGTTGGTCATGTCGCCCGCTAACGAGAGTTGTTCAATATATTACGGGTGTACGTGGAAAAGGTAAAAACCCTGGATGTCTTCAAACTTTGCATCAAAAACATTCAAATGCTCTACTGCGATAACAGTACGTTCCTTATCCGAATCCTGCGATCGCTCATCAAGACGTAGTTTCGCCACCGCAGTGTAGCCAAAAATAAAGGTGTTGCGTATGTAGATGACTGCTTTTCAAAATAAATATAACAAGACCCATGATTTTTTTTTTTTTTGCAACAAACAAGGACGTTTTTTCACTTTTTCTTTGATTCAATAGAGCAAGGTCAAGAGCATATTGATCGTAGCCTACGCACTTGTGATTTTGTTTTAACGCATAAGTTATAGCACACTGAGAAAGTACATTTGAGAAAAGTACACCGTCGAAGGCGATCTGTTCTCGTTTCTGGGTCTCTACTTTAACCCAGGAAAGTCGCAGAACCTCAGCAATCACCAAATCAAAATCCGGATTTTTAAATTGCGAAAACAACTTCAGATGCCGCAGCGTGTCACATATGTCAGATATATATATGTCTGGGTTACACACTGCTGCTCTGCGCAACCGAGACACTTTTGTTTTAGTAGAACAAAGGGCCTTTTTCCTTGCGAATACACTTTGCTTATGTTACTTAAGCTTATGCTTGTATTATGCTGATGCATATGTTTATAGTATTCCGAAATTATTGGTAAAATTACCTATTTATTTTATGTGTTTTATTTATATTTTGCATTCTCTGTTAAAAGTATCAAATAGCCGAAACAGCTTGAACACGTAACTTTGTATATAATTAAACGTGTAATGGGAAATTCAAACATAACTGAAATTCATATAAACATTTGAAGTCAGATTTTTTATAATTTAATTCGGCTTTTTTTAGCAATATTTTCTTCAAATCTGTATTTTCTTTTAGAGAAGATTTTTTTCTCTACTACGATTGTTAAATATATATATATATTTGTCTTCACCCCCCTCCGCCCCCCCGAAAAAAGAAAAAAAAGAAAACCTTTTGAAACGCCGTTAATAATTTGTTCTCAATATATAACTTTAAACACCTTTTACTGAGTTCCTATTTTCGGTAATTTCACCGAAACAACTAATTAGGGATGCATGCATTAAAAAAATTTCGTCTATGTGCTGCTTAAACAAGAAAGTTCGCCTCTATTTGTCACAAAAGGGTATCCTGGGTTTCCGGATTGTTGGAAAGCACGGCAAAGAAAAAAGAATACGCTTTTGGCTTGGGTGGGTACAATTAAAAGTACTAAGTTCCGTAATTTCATTAGCAAATTCACTAAACCTTGCTAACATCCGTAAGTAAGATAAAAAAAGAGACTCCTGAAGATGGCATATATTATAGTTATAAAAAGTAGAAAACCACTTCGCTATGCAGATAACATGATGAAAGTAGATATAAAAGCAGTCCACGAGGGAAAGAAAAAGGCGAAACTACCCAAGTCTAACTTAATAAGTCCGCAGACTCTTCCTGCTTGCGTAAAAAAAAGATTCCCGGCAATTTCTGGATACGTCGTTATTGACTCCTAAATTACTTCCCCAAATAAAGGACCGATGAAAATACACCGCACATTGTATTACGTTAATCGCAAACTGTTACTAAATTACTAGCTAAACCATTTCGAAAAATGCGCCTCGTGTCACACCAGAAAGCGCACCGACAATTCAGTATATAATAATTGATAAGAGCTGTCTGCTTTGTGTAAATATGCATATTGGGATGAAGAAGAACAGGAGCTGAAGAAGGCCGAGGAGCCAGCGCCTGAAGCAGAGATTTCGACCGAACGCCGGCGTTCCGCGTTTTAACGCGTTCGATGAGGGCAGTCGAGACAAATGCTGCTGGCTTTTGGTCTACCCTCATGATCGTTCCAACCACAGCTGACTGCTCTGACGTCCGCCCCCCCCCCCCTTCCCCCCTCCCCCCTTTTCGTCTCCTTGTCTGGCTCACTTTCTCTTCGCATAAAAAGAACATTCAACAGCCTCACAGTATTATGGTGATTAGCAATATCTGCCCTCGGCTCTTTTGAATGTCTACCCAGAATGCATTGTAATCTTTTTCTCATGGGTAAAAAGCAGGGTTACGTGTCTTCGGTAATTACTAATAAACACCCGATATGAACTCGAAAAACGGTTTAATCGATATCCAGAAAAACTTGAATTGGAGCTGTTCACGAATGAAAAAAACAAAATAACCAAAGTTTTCGGATATAAATATTTACCTACGGTTTTATTTGGTGTCAATCTGGAATGCAGTAGGCACTAAACTGCCCTCAAGACTGCTTCTTAATTTCTTCGGGAAACACAGCCCTGGTGTCGTTTCCTGTTTTGATAGGTACCGGGATGTTTTTCAAGTACTTCAGGTGAAGCGTATAGTCACTGGAGGTTCATGAATCTCTAGTCATGTCACGTACTTTTTATAATAAGCTCCGATAAACGGCAAGTTTTTTTTGTGTGTGTGACTGAAGTATACTCCGAAAAACACCAAATCTGTGGGAGCGAATAAACTCAAGAAAAAAACACCCCCCCAAATTTGATGGAAAATAAACTCGGAAACATAGAGCCCTCGTTAAAGAACCAATTTGACAGTCTGTATTTAACGCTTTATTTCGTCCGGGCAGTCAAGGCGACGCATTTACACATTAAGTTCGACTCTGGACGTCATCACCGACGGGAGTTTGCATCGGGTAACAAACAGCAACCTCATAAAGTTTCCGAATATCAAAGACATGTATGGGTTACGACATGTTATATGCCTCATCCCCAAACAGTTTGCGAAGATTGTGCTCATACCTCCTTTCTCAAATAGAAACTGCATTTCTAGGAATACCAATTCCACCAAAATTTCGTATTCACCTATTCCGATGCTCAAATATCCTAACCAAATTGCTCACTCAATGCATACCTGCTGTTCTATATTTATTTATATTCTCCTCCGTAGCCTCTCCAGTTAAGTGTCCATTAACTCCGAGCATTTTCCACTGCAGGTTCTCACCCCTTTGCTGCACGTTGCAAAGTTCAAAGGCAGCAAAACGTCCCTTAACCTCGTGGCTCCGTTCTACAGTTTAGATGCAAGTCCCGTAGGTTGGTTCGAAGCCAGAATGTATTTACTATTTACGCTCAGCAGGGACAAAGTCTCGACGCCTGACGCGTGCGAGTTATCACATAGTTAGGTCCAGGAAGAAAGTCGGGGGGAAGGCTATCTTTTCTGGAGCCGTTCGACGGAGCACTGCTCATTAGGGACCCACTGCAGGCCGCGCAAACTGGTTCATAAATAGTCCCGGGACAGTTACGACCCACGTGGTCGCCCATCGAGCGGCGTTTCATGTCTGCTCAGAATTCACGCTGCTGAAAATTTACTGAAAATGGCCGCTAAAAAATTTTGATATAAAAAAAAGACATTGCGTCATTAAACATACACACACAAACGAACACGCACACATACACCAACGCTCTCCCGAACACACGCACGCGCACTCAGGCACGCTCTTACGCACGCGGACACATCCACGCGCGCGCACACACACACAAACACACACACATATATACGAACACATGCACGCACGCACGCACATACGCACACACGCACGCACGCAGATAAAAAGCATATCAGAGCAGACGGCTTTCTTTTCTCGCCACCATCCCGGTAGGAAGTGCTGTGTGCTCCCTGGGCATGAAGCTCGGTGGTCTTAGCAACAGAAAGTGTCGCTCATTTCTTGCTGCGCAACGCCTCTCGATGAAATAAAGATGAGAGACGCAAGGTGAATGCATTAACACGGGTACTCACCGTAGACGATCATTTCCTTCTGCGCACGTTCGGTCTGAAAAGACGGGGACTCGGCTGACACTTCGCACCGGTATTTCCCTTCCGAGTTGAGATCCGTGTCGTTCAGGTACAAGTCGCTAATGTTGGAACGCGATACCTGCCGAAAATGAGGAAAAAGAAGTGAGGCGTTAGAAATCCACGATAATGTGAGTACCATTACTAGCGCACATGTAGCGCACCTTCGAAGTACAGCGTCAAGAGATATACCGTCTGGTTCAGCGAAGATTTAAAAAAATCTCTGCCATTAAAGTGGTTCAGAAAAAATACCCTTTTTATCCCGAACAAACTGCAAGCCACACTGACCTCGGGGACTGCAAATTAAGTATACAGATGATCAAAATAATTACCTACGAGTTAGGAAGTAACTTTTTAAGTAGTGAAAATAAATAGCTAACTCCAATTAGGAGCTTGCTGAACGCTATCGAAAGCCCCTAAATCGATCAATTTCAGGAAGACCTAGACTACGTGCGAAGCACGAGAATGCGCTGAACTTCACTCGTGCAGCAAGCGCAGGGCCGGCGATACAAAAACGCGGATGGTATTCTTATCATCCGCGTTTTCGCCGCGACAGCCCTTTGTGCCTGCTGCACAATTGGTAACTTTAAAAGCGCACTCCCGGGCTTGGCGTAGTTTAAGTCATTCAAAATTGACTCTCTCGTAGCTTTTCGATGACGCTCAGAAGTTTCTAGTTTGAACCAGGTGTTTATTTTCGCGAATTAAAAATTATTAAGTAATTTTTTTAATTAATTAGCTTATTAGTATTTTCTTCTTTTTTGCAATCCTGACGTCCCACGTGGCAGACAGCTTCTTCCTGAAAAAGATATTATTTTTTTAACTACCTTATTGTTTGGAATCCTTGAAAGCCTTCACTGAAGCACCCGGTATACGGTAGCGGCGAAAACAAATCATCGATAATAACCTTTGGGGAAGGGGACCAAGGGGGACACCAGTACAAACAGAGATCTCCAAACATAGTAAGGTGACTGGTACGCGCTAAAAAAAAAAAAAAACTCCTAGCTGGTTTGGAGATTTGTGTTTGTCCTTAGTCCCCCTTGTTCGCCTTCTCCGGGTATTATTATCGATGATTTCGTCTAACTCGCTCATACGTTTCAATTTATTTCATTAACAAGAAATCATGACCTAAATTTGCGGCGTTTGTCTGCAGCCTGGGCGCTGCTCTAAAATAATTCGCTTGGTTCATGCTCCTGCGTAAAGCGAGACAACAAATCAAGGCGAATAGTAGCATCATCCAGTGAATGAGAAATCTGAGAATACGGTTACAAATAAAAAAAAAATATTGCAATGTGCGAAGGGACTGAGCTTGACGTAGTACTTGTTATTTTTGTCCCCCCCCCCCCCCCCCCGGGGCCAACATCGCACTTTTCAGACCTAATCTTAATGTGAGCTTCGTCATGTCATGCAATCAGTCAGCTTTCCGAGGGGGCAGAGGGGAGCGGTCAGGATGGTGACGGCCGATCATGATGTTCACCCGATGCAAGTCCCCCGGGAAGTCGAATAAGAAAAAAAACTAAAACTTGTTCGATCCCGCTGGACACATTACGACGGTGGTTGGTTTACGATGGCCAGTGTGGCCACGTTTATTTCAAAACAAAACGACAAGTCATCAGTAATTTACAATACAAAACTCTCAAGATTAAAATCCATACTTTAGTCCCCCAGTCTCAAGAGCGGAATCTGCCTGATCTCAAGAGCCGAATCCCCGAGAATCCTCTCGGCAGCCCTTTTCTAGACTCGTAGGGGCCTCCTTTCCCTCCAGAGACGGACCAATCACTTCAAATTTGCCCATTGCCACATGGTACACTCTTACCCAATGATCAGCGAGCGTGATCCTCCTCCGACACCTGGACGGTTAAACCCAAATTCTTTGTAGAGTCACCACATGCTTTCTTCGCCGTCTGGCTGGCGCCACCAAGTTAAGTTATTGCGTCGACTAAAAGCGAAGTTTTCTACACTAAGCGGCGAAATACGCCGGACACAAGCACACCCGCTTAAAAGCCACAAGTGCGGACAGATGCCCAAGACAGGGGTGTTCCGGCGCCCCAAACTGAAACCCAATCCGTTTGTTAACGACCGGGGTCCGACTCTTCTCCACCGAGCCCCGCGGCTCCTCGAAGCCCCCCGCGCTTGAGAGAACAAGACGACTCCCCGTTCACGCTCTCACCCCTGCCACGGGTCTGCGAGCAAACGGCCAAAAATGTGGGCCAAAACACAGGCAGATAAAACAACGATGCCGACGCCACTGTAGAAAGATAGACTTTTTTAAAACAAGTCTTATTTATTTCTAACAAAAGCCTTCGTTACCTAACACGATCCTTCTGTTATTTGTGGAGCCTGGCTGTTTCCGCATACTGCAGACAAATAAACTCGCAGACATTTTCTTTTTTTAGACTTATAGTTGTAAAGCGACACCCCGAAAGCTCAGTTAAGGCGCATTCACACTGGAAGCGGATCCGTGTTCGCTAATCGATTGCGGATGCGGTTCGCGGGCGACCTCGTTCAGACACACCGAGATGCGGTTGGCGGTTTCTTGGCGATGACGCGCGATCTTTTGAGACTTGCGTTTGGCAACCCTTGTTTTACAATTCAAAATCCACTTTAATCGACAATCCAAAGCCAAAATTTTGCCATTTTGGCACTCTGAAGATTTTTCTCCGGGATGTTCGCACGCATCAGAGTTCAGGCAGCGAAAAAAGAAGCATGGACCCGCCAAACTCGCCTGTGATTCCCTCGACTTCGTCCACAAGCAAAGCCCAGCTAGGCGCGCCTTGCTGACTCAGAACAGGATGCCCCCGACCCTTCTTCGAAGTGTACCCTTCCCGCATGAATAGCTGACCTTGTTCTCGGGATGAGGGCCACTTTTCCTCCCTCGTTCGCTCTTATCATTTTCGAAGTTGTGAGCGATGGGGTGGAGCGTGCAGCGGTGCAGGGTTGCGAGGTTGGGCTATTAATAGCCAAATCGGGCTACTTTTTTATGCATTTGGTGTCGAAATTTGGCAGTTGGCTATGTGGCTATTTCTGGGCTATTTGAAATCCTAACGTGGCCCTTTTTTTTCTTTTTTGCTCGGTTTAGAGTAGATGTACAAAAGACACTTCAGCATGGGCACAAAGCGACAGTCCAACCTTTCGGAATTCCCGTTTTCAGAAATTTTCTGCGTGAAGATTCGTGGGCGTGAGCTACCGTGACCTAGATTCAGCTCCGACGACATCGCTTTTGTATCAATTCTGGCTTATTTTATGCTCCCAAGTTCTTTCTGCTTCCTACTGGCGTCTCTTTTTTTCTCGAGTTTCCCACCATCCTCCATAGGAGGCACCTGATCTGAGGAGAAATGATACAGAAGGCAATTCAAGACATTGTGAAGAATTTGGTGTCGCCTGATAACGCCTGCTGTGCCAGATATAACAAAGGAGGCTTTTCCGCGAAACGCGGAAATTTCGTAAAGCAAAATGAGCTATAACAAAAGAGAACAGATTTGGGACAATAAATATTCCGAACAAGGCCAAGATTGATGCGCAGGAGCAGCCCTGTTTCCGTTGCTATCCGAGCTTGCCATCGAGCTCCCGACATTGCCCATGTCGAATGCCGCAGTGGAGAGAGTGTTCAGTCACGTGCCCCTCACAAAGTCACATGTAAAAAACAGGATGTCCCTTCCAACTCTTCAAAACGTCCTATATGTAAAGTTTGCTTTCCTTGGGAAGAACGAGTGCTGTAAGTACATCAACCCTACTGAAGAAGTTTTTGCCCGTTATAACATGGAAATCATGTATGAGGCGAGTAAGCTGGGCACGCGCCAGTACTTCATAACTATGAGACTAAAAAAACGTTTGGAAAATGTTTGTAGTTGTATGTTAGAAATAAAACATTCGATACATTTCAAGATGTCATAGGTCCTGCAAGCTGCTCCTAAACCCGTGATATGCAGACGCACTGCCTTCGAATTGAGCTCGCATATTCCAGCGCCCAATATTTTGGGCTCTGCAAAATATGGCTACTCTTTGGCTACATAAATATCATGCATTTGGCTACTTTGGGCTACACCACCTGGAATTTGGCGCTTTGAGATAAACCTACCTGGCAACCCTGGTGCGGGGCAGTGTGTTCGGAGCTAGCCGGTTGTGGCTTTGGTAGTGGCGGTCTCTCCTCTCGTCACTCGCACGTCGATCGAGTCTACTGTTTGTTTGAAATTAAGCTCAAATAAACGCCGTATGGATTACCTCTGCATTGTCTGGTACGTACACTTTATTCTTTTAGCAGGTTCCTTATATTTGTTTTGTTAGTAGTAAACTTTACAGATCGAGCTAGCGCATCTACCCTGCCCGCTCCGCGGCAGTGTGTTGGCAACGCAATCAGGCTCACAACGTCTCTATCGGCCTTCGTGGTGGTCATGTACGGTGTCAAAAGCTTTCAATAGTTCACGCGACTCCGTTAGTGGGCACAAAACCTGACATTTCGGTCGATTAGGGGCGTTTGCCAACGTTCTGCGGTCAGAGACTCAGCGCAGCAAGCTTCGGGCTGTGGCACCCGGAATAATGAACAAACTCTTACCCGAACCAAATCACTGGTGCGAAGCCCTTTAAAATTACGAGTCAATTCTTTTCGCGGCTGATTCAAGTGATGGACGTGAACATCCCGTTTCTCCGTGGATTTCTCTGCTGTAACGCTAGGACTACAGCGCCTTGGACTCTTCAACAGTGACAGGTGCCATCTTGTTTCGAAAGTCTCTGACGTCACGTCAGCGTCGCGTTGTGGTTGGTTGCCGCTTTGCGGTTCGTGAAAGCGGTTCGAAGAAATCGGTCCCGAAGCGGTTGGCAAAAACGCGCTCCAACCGCTCGATCCTAGGCGCTTTGCGGTTGAGAACGCGCGGATCCGCTTCGCGTTTGTGGATACACTTCCAGTGTGAACGCGCCATTAGCGTTTGAGAATTTTCTAGTTAGTCCCTCGACACGACACAAAGTACAGAATTTTATTTCCTTCCTTTATTTATTGTTTTCACAGAAAGAGCACATTCCAGCGCTGCTCATGACTTGTCTCTGCTGCCTCGCAGTCTGCAGCAAATCAAGTTTTATTTGAAGCAACCG